ACGTTTCGCCAGCACCTGTGACCGGGATCTTCAGAGTGCAGGAGCACAGACAGGAGCAATTCTCTCTGTGCCCAGGGTGATTCAATTCAAACAAACTTACATGTTACAATATTAAGCAGTTCTGGAGATCTCAGTCACGAGTTGAAATTATGATAGAAAGTACTAAATATTGGGATTTTGCAGATTTCTTAAAGGGTTCGTCACTTAGATAAAGGTTTGAGTGAAGTCTCCCTTTGGAGTTGTTTCATGAAGCAGTGTGGCCATCTCACTTCCAAGAGTGAAGTGAAAAAGCAATATGGTTGTGCTTCACGTGCTCCAAGTGACAGTTCTGATTATTAGATGCTTCTGTTCAGGTATAATGCATGTATGGAAGCCTCTTCTGGCTATTGAAAGTGCCAGCTGAGCTTTCAAGGCAATACAAAGCACCTGATTGAAACAAATTGGGTTGCCTTTTCATCTATATGAGGCAAAAAAACTCTTTGTCAAGGCAAATCTGACTCAATTCTCGTGGGCCTAGAAAAAAATCTCTGCGACTACAGATAATCAAGCCATTATGTCACCTGGAGTACAAGTGCCATATTAAAAAGGAATGAGCAGAAAAGTTATATAATTCTTCAACAGTGGAAAATGTAAACTCTGTGTAATGTACCAAAAAAATTGGGGCGGGAGGGGTGGAGAGGAAAAGCATGTTAAAAGAGGATTGTATTATAAGGTAAAGAGTCCAGACTGAACTAGTCCTCAGAGCATCAAGAGAACTGATATAAATTTTAGTACCTGTTGTTCAGTCCTAAGCTGAATTAAGGACAATTGAGCTAGCTATTTATAAGATGACAGATTTGGAGACAGGCATCGTGACACATGAAAATGATGCTCGTCTATGAACCATTGATCATTTTAATTGGTATCAATTGTTCTTGTGGATTCTTCTTTGAATTTTGGCTATTAGATTCTAATAGCCAAATCACAAACCCAAGATCTAGACTCAGATTTGTTTTGTTACTATAAGGCCATACTGCCTTTTAACTTATTTCTTACAAAGAATATTTCCAAAAGAAATAACCATCTGAATTATAATTGCCTATTTTGTATAAATTAGAATTCTGTGCAGTGAGAAATGAGCCATTTTACATGCAATATGCTACCATAAATTAATTGTGGAGCACAATTTATTAAGAAGTTGGTTAATAAGTATTCTGAGTTATATGGTCTAAGTAATATGATTCTTGTCATCTCTTCTAGTCAGATGCAATGCTAAAATGAAATCCCCCAAAGATCTTATAATATGATTAAGTAGCAGACAATCAGGACATGTTACAGGCCCTAAAATCAGACCTTCAATGTAATGGTTACTCCCATTATTTGTATGGCAAATCATTTTGAAAAACTTCTTCACTGTGCATTATGAATGTGTGCCGGAAAGCATGCAGGACTATTTGTTACAGTAAAAAAATTGTCCTGCATGCTTTCTGGCACAGAAGCAGTTACAATTTCTTGCATAAATGTACATTCAATTATTATTACAGGTGCCAAATGCGAACTGCTTAATGCTCTGAGGTGGATTCTTGGAGGACTTCTTTGAGGGGAAAATCATAGTATATTGAACTACTGATCATGAGTGCTACTCAGTAGTAATACCTGCATTATTTTACGTACTGGATCATTTTCATGGGATTCTAAGCGCCAAAAAATAAGAAATATCAGTGTCACTTTTCTGGGTTGTTTTCTAGCCTCCCCTCAAAAAATACAACATTCTTTAGCAGCATGTTGTAATATGCAGTGAGCCTCTGGAAGAAAAGACATGTCTCATATACAAGCATACCCAGCTTCTTTGGATCACCTAATCAGGATTTACAATTTTCCTTAAGTTTAGATGAATGTAAGTTGAATTTTCTTGAAGTCATGTTGCTCAATACTGCAAAGTTTGAAATTGAAGGTAGAGAGTTCATGCAGAGAGAGAGTTGGAGTAGGACAGCCATATCACTAGTTGGCTTCTGCCTCATGTGATCAGGTGAAAACAGATTTACCCATGTTAGCAGTTCCATGCTATGTCTTTATCAGGCCACGTTGGACAGACAAGATAGTCACTCTGAATCAAAATTGCACAATCTTAATGGTCCTTTTGAACTCAACGGAAACATCCATTTGCAGAAACTGAATCAGCAACTTCTCTTTTCTCATTCCATAGTAAATCATTAAACAAACAGTCTGTCTCTTGATAAACAGTCAGGCTTACGTACTTATATAAATGAACCTTAATTCCTATAATGAAAACATCCTTAGTAATCTAAAATGACTTGCATTGTTTATTGGATTATTTTGGCTGACAGACAGTTATATTTGAAAACAGAAACAATGTAAATATGGTCATTGCTTTTGGTGCTTATAACCAGCTGCTTTTATTTGAAAGATGTTGACAGTCTTTGGGACTGGCTAACTCTTCTCTAATAAACATTTTTGATGCAAAAAAGGGGGTTAGGAAAGGGATTAAAAAAAAAAAATCAAACCAAATAGTATGTATGAATGTATTTGATATAGTTTAGAGGCTGCTTGACTCCTAATAACTCTGGGCAGTTAAAAGTAAGAACAATTAAAAAAATAAAACTGATTATAAGCATTTGTTGTCTAATTTATAGCATTTGCTAGTGCCCACATGCCATTTTAGCTCCAACTGCAGCTTCAATGCTATATTGCTGTTTCAATATTACCAGTTTTCTTAGCCAAAATCATATGTGTGCATATGATGATGTCATGGATGGTAAAGTCTGCTTTTGATTTATTTTTCAAGCAGTTTTCCTCTACAATAATATGGTATAGAATCAGAATTATTGAAGAATTATATCACACATTTGAAACAGTCTGAATATTGAAATATAACTCCATTCTCAAACATTGTTAAAATTGTGAATTACATGAATTTATATTCAATCGTGAACACATTTCTTTCCCATTCTTACCAAAGAAAATCTAACCTCAACTGATATTTTTTAGCTGAATTTCGGAAATTCTGGATGTGAGGATCACCTCTTCTTTTGCCATAATTACTCATCTGGCAGAACTTATCTTGGCAGGACTACCAGTTACCAGCATTCTGGAAATAGCCCTACGTGATTTGGGATGAGGAGGGATGGTAAATTTAGAAGAGCTACTGGCAGTGAGACCTTGTGGAACAGTGGCCTGTACACGGGGCAAAATACAATGTGGAGAATTCCTAGTCAGTCCTGTTAAAAGAAAGTATGGCTGTGCAGCCTGATTTGAAAGGAGAAATAAAAAAAATAGAATGTCTCCATTTATTCAAAGGTTGCCCACTCATCAACAACTCTGAGTGGCTTACAAAGATTTAAAACAGAAACAATACATTAGAGCCACTAATAACAAAATGATAATTTATACCAAATAAACAACATTCAGAGTATATAGCTTTTCTTACTAAGGGCATGTACCACTTGTTGGCAACTCCTTAAATCACCCATGTCTTTCCTGACTGTGTGCAGTAATAGAGGGCAACTGTGAAATCCCAGGAAAAGAAGCAGCTGCTTTAAAAAGTTACTAATACAGCTATATAAGCATACTGACATACTCTAAAGCACCCTTTTTTCTTTAAAATTCAGACGACTGCACAGCCTTATTCAGATATATGCTTTTTTAGAATTAGCTTTCTCTAAAAGCTTTCTCTGCCTTCAGTGATTTCATTACACAATCAAATCTGATGAATGCTGTTTGAAGCTTTGAAACTATTTAGAATATTTGAAGTTATAAATACCAGAATTATATGAATATTTGATAGAATTATGATGAGATTTGACTCAAGAATGATTCTATCATTTTGAACCAGATTTCTGACATGAACTGGCAAGTCAAATCATTCAATCAATTGGATACCTCCAAACTGATTTGGATAATTTTGATGATCTGCACATATGAAGATTTTCTTGCGAAAGTCAAAATCAAATCAATTTGCTTTTACAATTCAATTCAATTATACTGTTTTTCTGAATCAAATATGAAATCCAAATCAAAATGTATACAAATTCCAACTGAACCTATGATTTGATCGGATTTTCCAAATATATAAGTAGACAGACATCTCAGTGTGTGGCACTGTTGTTTGGAAGCTAAGTAAAGCCTGATCAATCTTTAGATGGGATAGTACCAAGGAATACCAGAGCGGTAAAATAGCCTGAGAAAGGGGAGGGGGAGAATGAGGAAGAGGAGAAGGGGAAGGGGCAAACCACTTTTGGAGTGTTGGCAAAAAAAAGTGTGTGAATATGTCCATAATATTTCGTTTCAGTTAGACTTGCTAATTTGTACACATACAGATTTTCTTTTTATGTATGAATACAGACAAAACTTATGGGGGGGGGGG